AAATACAAATGTTTCGTTTCGATTATTTTTATAAATAATCGCTCGCACCGTGATGGGGAGCGACTAAATAAATATAGAATGAATGGATAAATAAAACGGAACTGAGTATTGCGCGGCTGAATATTTCATTTCGCAGCCCTTCTCGCCGGTAATGCTCGCACACTCAGCCATTCACGACGCACGGAGGTTTTTCAACCAAACCTGTCTTCCGCGTACGCAACGATAACGATTAGTTCACGCGGAACGAGGATACTGCCGATTATCCATCCCATGTCTCGAAACGTCGCTCGTTACGAGAGCTTATTGCCTATCGGGTGTTTCGATGAAATGATTTCCGCGCGGCCGGTATGCGTGTACTGAGAAAAAATGTTTTGTCGGGTTAACAAAATATCGGTAACTACAACAAATAGTTTGTTAATACGAGACAAATGACTCCGTTGTAGGAACGAATGATTTGTTACTTATGATTTGTTGCTTTAACTGACAATTTCATAATGGGAGCAAATAGTATTGCTATGTTGATATCATAAATTTATTATTTGTTGGCAATATGGAATAAGATTAGAAATTATGTATAAGCAAATTAGTTATATTGACTCTTCCTCATTAACGTATAATACATAGCGAAGTATGTAAAATACATTATGAAAGCACACATGCAATGCTACATTAGCGCGTATTATAATTACCAAATATTTCAAATACAGCTCCATTACACTTAATCAAACATTGGTAGAGGAGGGTTGACAAAGTAATAATTCCATGTGCGAGTTTTGCAGGAATTCGGGGAAAGAAATAGAGCAACACATTATTACATTAATCTTTATTTTTAGCACGACACATTGTATAAAATTAATAAACTATTAGATAAGGTTAAGTAAGATTAAGGGGAATACACATACAAAAACTCGTAAACTTATTTTTGTCAACAAAAATGTCTGGAAAAGTAGTTCGTAGTTGTTTAAAAAATTTTTTAATCACTTTAAGAGGTATTTTTACAGGGTGTTCCATTTTAAATGAACTAGGCAAAAATCTCGAAAAATATGAAAGATACTAGAAAACGTTTCAGACAAAAGTTGTATGGTTTCAAGGAAGGTATGAAACAACTATATTATTTTGTTTACAGATGACGCCACTTTCGAGATATTCACTGATCATTGCTTTCCTTAAATGGGAACCCCAATTTTTTGTTAGATCATCTTTTTTCACCAATTAAATTGGACAATTTTTGTCTGAAACGTTTCTCAGTATTTTCTATATTTTTCAAGATTTTACCCGAGATTTTCGAAATTACTCTGTATACAAAGACTCGTACTGTAAACGTATTTTTATCAACAAAAAAATCTGTGAAAGTGGTTCGTAGTTGCTTAAGAAATTTTATCACTTTAAGAAATGTTTTTATCTACAGGATGTTCTATTTTAAATGAACCAGGCAAAAATCTCAAAACATATGAAAGATACTAAGAAACGTTTCAGACAAAAGTTGTATAGTTTCAAGGGGGACATAAAACAACTATATTATTTTGTTTACAGTTGGCGCTACTTTTGAGATATTCACTGCTTCATTACTTTTCTTAAACGGAAATCCCAATTTTTTATTATAGCATATTTTTCTACCAGTTAATTGTAGAAATTTTTGTCTGAAACGTTTTTTAATATTTTTTATATTTTTCAAGATTTTTTCCTGTCTCATTTAAAATGGGACACCCTATATATATGAGAGTTCGGAATACGGACCACGGAAGAGTCACGTACACGTATGTATTACGCTATTACGACGTTGCTATTCTTTTTATTAGAAGCTGTACATTCAACAAACATGTATGATTCGCATTTTCAACGATGTATATTTGTTGAAATTACAAATAACGAAAAATGTTTTGTCGCGGTAACTGTTTGATTTGTTCCCCGTACAATTATCAAACGGCAAACGTTCATTTGTCATGACAACACAAGTCTTATTCAGTGTATGCATGCAAACGATCGTCAGGCTATGCGTAATTCGTTAAAAAGTGATTCCTTAAAAATAAGCTTTCAACGGTTAGTCTGGTTACAAGGAAATATGTACCGTTGCACGATACACGTAGCTTCGCGAACACCAAGTGACAAATTGGGCCGCGCGCTCGACGTGACTATTTTATATTCACTCTCGTTAAATTAATTACATTTTATAAAAGGACATGCGAAGGGGAAAGTGAGCGAGAGAGAGAGAAAGAGAGAGAGAGAGAGAGAGAGAAAGAGATAAAGAAGGAATGAGGAGGGTTGAAGCACATAAATAAAGTTTTCAAATGAGAAATGTATCAAAGCGACTTAACGAGTACGCGAGAAAGTGCATGTAGGTCGCAACATACGTATGCAGAGATTAAAAATGGAAAGTTAACAAATGATAATACGTGACTTTTCCTTCCGTTTCACGTGTTTTTGAATGTCAAAAGCCCTGCCGAGATAGATGATGGAGTCGTCTCGAAGGCATTGATATTACAACGAGCAAATCCCGCGAATTCTCTCATTTCTCACTCGCGCAGCAACGTCTGTCTGGAACTCTCTCTGGATATTATCACGGCCCCGATATTAAAACCGCCGATGACTGATCGGGGAATCTCATTATTTCTCGAAATGATTCCTACGACTTTTTCTGGCGAATGTCACGCGTTTTCTAATTTCCGCCGGAGAACCGCGGACAGGCGCTGTGCGAAGGTGAAAGGTCACGCTGATGAGCCGGCGAAACTCAGGAAAAGATTCGCGTGGATGATCAGCTGTGGATAATCTGAGCGCGCTGACAATCGTCGAGTAATATCGCACTATTGATCTTAAATATCACGCGGAAAAATATTCTGCACTGACAACTCGAAATTTTCCATTACATGAGCTTCGGTTGCAATAACGGAACATTCTGTTCCGCGAACCGTGAAGAACCATTCACATCGACAACTGCTTTCGATCGAAAAAGCAAAAATTTCCGTCTGGAAGATGTAGCTACCGCGGCAAAGTACTCGGCTACTCTCGCAAAAAAAGAAAACTATATCGTACATATAAAAAGAAATTAAATCTCAGTTACCGCTGGCGAAAAGTTTTGTTTGAAAAAGTTGAATGACGCTGCTGATGATGCGATTTTCAACCCTCAAGCGTTTTTTTTCCATTTGCGCATACAGAGACGCTTTGTTTATCCGTACAAAGAACGGTACTTATATCCTTAATAACATTAATCCTAAAAGCTACCATGGGTGAAATTGTATTCCATGCGAATTTTTGATCTTATTAAAAAACGTAACCACACTAACAATACTAATTTTGTAGCTATTCATTCGCACTATCAGTAATGACAATATTATGATAAAATAAATCAATTCTAGCATATATTTTGCCATAAACATAACAAGAAAGATTAGCTTAGAGTGATATTTGATGGTAGCTTTTAAAGGTAAATGTCTTCGGTTCAAATGACCGAATATTATACGAGGGTAGATTGACAAGTTTCCGACCTGACTAAGGAGAAGCATTTTTTTAACTAAATGAAATCTTATCTCTCAACAAAGTCCCTTCAACTCAGTACACTTGGTTCAACATTTTTATAGACCTTTTCATTCCCTCAGTATAATAACTTTTGTCTAAACCCGGAAAATAGTCATTAACGGCACTTATCACTTGAGCATCCGACGAAAATTTTTTCCCAGATAGCCATTTTTTAAATTTGGAAACAGGAAAAAATCGCGCAGGGCTAAATCTGTAGATTACGGTGGATGTGGAATTAATTCGTACTTCAGTTCGTATAATTTCGTCATTGCAACTGCTGATTTGTCGCCCGGCGCATTGTCCTGATAAAAGAGAATTCTTTTTTTATTGTCCAAATACAGACGTTTATTTTTTATTTCCATATCCAAACGTTGTAACAACCCAGCATAATATTATCCTGTGATTGTTTTCCCTTTTCCCAAATGGTTCACAAGAATTATCTCATGGAAATTCCAGAAAACTGTGGCCATCACCTTGCCAGCCGACGAAACTGCTTTCGCTTTCTTCGAAGTCAGTTCGTCTTTTGCAGTCCATCGCTTTGACTGTTCTTTTGTTTCTAGAGTGTATTAGTGGACTCAAGTTTCGTCGACAATAATAAAACGCCGTAAAAAATCCTTTTCATCGCGCTTGAAACGCTCAAGACACGATCACGAAATGTCCAACCAATGTCATTTTTTATTAACAATGAGCAAACGCGGCTCCCAACGCGTGCTCAGCTTTCTCATACCTAATTCCTCGTGCAAAATGTTGTGCGCCCGTTCGTATGAGATACCAGCAACTTCCGCTCTCTTTTAAAGTTAATCGACGATCGTCCATCACGATTAAGTGAATATAATCGGTCATTTCATCCGTTATTGCGGTTTTTAGTCGCCCAGAGTGTTCCTCGTCGAAAATGTTCGTTCTGTCACGCTTGAACTCAGCGACCCAAGTTTACACGGTCATAAATGAAGGAGCAACGTCCTTACACTAAATCTAATTCAACTTTAATTTCCGTAGGAGTTTTCCCTTTTACATGAAGAAATTTTATCAGGGCGCGATATTCCAGTTTCTCCATTGTTGACAAACTATATCTTCGAAAGACTGTCAAAAACGAATGAATCGCTAGAACATCAAACTTTGTGTCATCAAACTTTCTTTTACTACCATCTATCGGACAAGTATCGAAATTTGACTGAAATCTTGCTCTTTATTGGTTAGGTAAGAAACTTTTCAATCTACTCTCGTATTTCTGAGACAACAGAAACCTTCTAAATTTCTCTTGCGTTACAACCGAATTTCCAGTTGATTCCTAAAGAATGGGCGATTCGGTCATCGTAACTGAGTTTGAAGCTATTTCAATCGAATAGTTTTCTGCATGTACGTCGCTCTCTTTTGTATCCGATCGCTCGCGTTGGCATTTATTGCGAGAGTTTCCCGCAGTCGCGATTTTCCGATCCGTGGATCGAGCATGGCCGAAAGAAATACGCAACAATTTAAGTCTCGTTTACCTTTCGCCTATCCCTGCGGGCGGAGTACAAGACCCAGATGATATAAGAAGCCATTATAATGGTGGGTATACACACCCCGGCTATGGTGAATGCGCCGCGTTGGAGCACATGATGCAGCCCGAGCAATGTAACTGCAAGGGCTGTTCCACCGGCGATATATCTGCCGGTACGACGTCGCTCGTCCTGAAAACAGAATATCGTACGTGCACATTTAATAAGTCCGCTTCTCCCGAAGGAAGAAGGGAAACCGAACAATCGTCGGCGTTACATCTCGAAGTCGCGCGTGGAGATTCCGCAGGTGACGCTTCCTATCGCAGTGTTGCACGCTGTTACGCTGTTACGTCTGAAAATAGCACGTTAAACTGACTCTAAAAAGCGCAATTTCACTCACGGGATAAATAACGTGTGGCAAATGTCACACATGATTTGCGAAGGTTCCGTTTTAACCCTTTCACTGTTAGTGGGAAGTATACTTCCCACCTTTTCTTGATTCAATTTTGCATTGTAAAACACATAATTTTGAAGAACTAATCGGGGATTTGGGTTTTTCAGATAACTGAATAGTTGTTCAACATACTCCAATAGGTTTTCATACTCAATAGGTTTTCATTTTCATTAATTTTGTACATCATGATCGCCATATTGAGTCCGCCATTTTGAATTTTGCAAATCTGACTTTAGATTCGTAATCAGCGACCCAAAAAACGTAGGACTACCAAATATTTTAACAATTTTCTCAAAAGAAGTTAATTCAGCAGTAAAAGGGTCAGCAGTGAAAGGTCAATAGACCGCAGCGCGCTGCGTGTCACACGGCCGCGCGAAAATGCAAATGTTTATGTAACTTCGTTCTCGACGTGGCCGAAAATTCGACGACTGGCGAAAAAAGCGAAATTCGACAACGAGCGTTCGATGTCGGCGAACTCGTCGCCGAAGATGGAATACGCGAGATGCATTCGCGTTCGGGGAAAGGCAGAATTTGCCTTTCGCGCTATTATTGAGTTGGCCAATAAGTCCGTGCAGTTTTTCTCGATAGATGGCTTCAAGGTGCTCTACTAAGCTTTATCTTCAGTCGAAAGTCTTGGAAGCGTATAGTCATTGACAGATGACATTTTAACGTGCATTTAAAAAATATACGTAAATACTGCTTGCGTATCTTGTGTGTTTTGCGTCATCTGAAAATGGATAACCAGAACGAGCATTTTCCGCATTATGCTTTGTTATTTTAAAAAAGGTAAAAACGCAGCGCAAACCTATGAAAAGATTTGTGCACTATATGGTGAGGGTGCCGTAAAAGAACGCGTGTACCAAAAGTGGTTTGCGAGATTCCGTTGCGGAGATTTCTCTGTCAAAGACAAACCACGCTTAGGCCGACCAAATAAGATTGACAGTGACAAATTGAAAGCGATAATCGACATCAATCTACACTATACGACGCGGGAGATTGCAAACGTTCTCCAAATATCGAAATCGAACATGGAAAATCAGCTGCATCAATTTGGTTATGTTAACCATCTCGATGTTTGGGTTCCGCATGAACTGAAGCTCATTTAATACAACGCATTTCCATCAGCGATTCACTCGGAAAACGTGAGAAAAGCGATTCATTTCTGAAGCGTATGGTAACTGGCGACGAAAAATGGATCGTCTACAATAACATCAAGCGCAAAAAGATCGCGGGGCAGCGCAGCGAACCGCCACAAACCACTTCGAAAGCGGGGCTTCACCCGAGCAAGATCATGCTCTCAATTTGGTGGAATTGGAAGGGTGTTGTGTTCTACGAGCTACTTCCAAAAAACAGAACGATCAATTCAGATGTGTACTATAGTCAGCTGGATAAATTAAATGCAGTGATCTACGAGCAGCGACCAGAATTGATGAATCGTAGAGGCGTCGTCTTTCACTGTGACAACGCTAGGCCGCACACATTTCTACAAACCCGGCAAAAATTATTGGCGCTAGACTGGGACGTCTTACCACATCCTCCGTATTCTCCAGACATTGCACCTTCAGATTACCATCTGTTTCACTCCCTTCAAAATTCCTTGAATGAAAAGCACTTCGTTTGTGAGGAAGCTATCAAACGACACTTGGAACAGTTTTTTTCCCAGTAAGATAGGAAGTTCTTTGAGCAAGGAATTACACAAGCACACAAAAAAAGAAGTCTGTTCTCTTGATTAGATCACAGTATCCCAAAGTATTTTGGCCCGCTGCACACGAATCCGGTGTTGAAATTGCTTGATCACCCTCCAGTTTTTGTAAAACCACAAAAAAAATAAAATAAAAAAAAAGTGGTGATCTTAAAATTTCAAGCATGATCCTGGGACAACAATCAGGATTTACAAAAAATCTCTGCTTTTTATGTTTATGGGATAGTAGAGATAGGCAAAATCACTATAAAAGAAAAGTACGACCAACGAGAACACACTTTAATCCAGGGTCGAAGAACATCATAAACGAACCTCTGCTTGATCCTTCGAATGTTGCTTCCCCTCCTCCACATTAAACTTGATCTGATGAAACAATTTGTCAAGGCTTTAAACAAAATAGGTGAATGCTTTCAATACTTAGGAGAAAAATTCCGGAAAATCAGCGATGTTTAGTTAAAAGAAGGTGTAGGTGTTAAAAGAAGGACGGACCGCAAATTCGTACAATGTTTCGAGATGAAAAATTCATTACGAAAATAAATGATATTGAGAAAGCAGCATGGCTCAGTTTCAAAAAGGTTGCTCAAAATTTCTTGGGGAATCACAAAAGTAAGGATTACGAAAATCTAGTCGCGGAAATGTTGGACAATTTCAAACAGTTAGGTTGTTTGATGAATCTGAAATTGCATTTTCTGCACTCTCATCTCGATTACTTCCCTGAAAACCTTGGAAATTATAGCGAAGAACAATTGGAAGGGTGTTGTGTTCTACGAGCTACTTCCAAATGGAAATGGAATGAATTATTTCACCAGGATATAAAAGAAATGGAGCATCGTTATTGAGGAAGGTAGGATGAAAACATGATGACAGGTTAGATGTTGAAAAGAGATATTAGAACGAAAGAGTAAAAAGAAAAAGGAACCTATTGCATAGATCATTTGAAGATAAAAGAGTTCATTATAAAAGAAAAAAAAGATTGAAAACATCTTTTTTATCTGGAAAAAACCAATTTTTATGGCATTTCTCCTATTTTTGGAGAATTTGAGGGCGATGAAGCAATTCTGATACCGACTTTGTCTCCAGTAGGTTTAAATATATAAGGATATAGTGTCGTGGTCCAAGAACTCCGTCTAACGGCGACCTTTAATGGAATGGAGTTTTGACGGGTTTTTGGAAATTTAGGGCATTTTTTGCGGTTTTACAAAAACTGGAGGATGATGAAGCAATTTCAACACCGGATTCGGTTCAGCGGGCCAAAATACTTTGAGGTGATAGTGATCTGATCAAAAGAACAGACCACTTTCTTTTTTATGTACCTGTGTTATGAATCTGCCCGAAAGATGGCAAAAGATAGCAGATAACAACGACCAATATATAATTGATTAAAGTTATTACCTTCTATAAAAATAATCACCGATCATTTATAAGTAAAAAACCGCACGTACTTATTGACCGACCCAATATTATCAGGACTACGTGGGAAACTTGTCGTCACTTGCTGCTCATCGCATTAGAAGGTAAACACGAGCAGACACATCGCGGTCCCTTTTAATCCGGCGGATACGTTCCTGACGTGTTCGTCGTAGCCGCCGGAGCGCTCGACTACTCGTCAGCCGGTAAACAATTAACGAGCACCGCCGAGCGCGCTCGGAGATCTTCGTCTCGATTTTCAGCAGTCGCGCGTGAAACAAATTACGGCGCCCTCGCCGCTCGCTTTGCACGCTAGCTCGGGAATTCATTTATTTCACGTCGTCGGTTTTACGGCGCGACGTCTGCGAGCGACAAGCGAGCGGCCCGCAATCGCGCAGCGTGCGAAACACGCCCGGCTGTTAGCTCACGCGTGCTCGAACATTAAATACTGACGCGCGCGATCGCGTCGAAAGAGAGTGACAGATCCATTTCCATTGTGTCGTCGCAACGATGCAGTTTCACGCGCTGCTCGTTATCCCCCGTGCCCTTAGCTTCGCTCCTTTTAGCGCACGAGGGCCGCCGTGATTTTACGCCTCCGCGAATTCAGGCGGCTCGCCACTCGCCGTCTCGTATCGTTATCATGTTGAAATTATGCCCTCGACGGGCACAATTCGATGCCGGCGAATCGAATTAGCGGAAGTCAAGAAATTTTAACGTCCCGCCTCTCTGTATTGACCGCCCGACGCAAAACTTACCGCGAGATCCTCGCGAACGACGAGCGAGACGAGCGAAACACGCGCACGCAGAAAAATACTCTGTAGTGATAACTGGAAATTTTCTGTCACATGAGCTTCGGTTGCTGTAACGGAAAATTCTGTTTCGCTAACCATGAAGAACCATTCGCATCAACTGCGTTCGATCAAAGGAACACAAATTTTCCGACTGAGAAATACAGTTACTGCGGCGGAATATTCGGAGAATACTCTCACAAAAAGCGTAAAACTGTATAGTATATGTAAAGAGAAACGAAATCTCACTGCGTGTGGAAAAATTCGTTTGAAGAAGTAGGATGTTGATGATGCGATTTTCAACTCGACCGCGCATCCAATTTAGCGACACTTAAATACTCCATTTTGTCAATTTTTGAAAAATATTTATTAAGATTGATATCCTCATTTGATTTTGTATGAAATCTTGTTCATAGAGAACTTTTTAGATTGCTGGCGCAAAACTTGGGATCGAAATTTCAAAATTTAAGCAGATCCAATGTGGCGACTCCAAGTGATTAAATTTAATATTTCATTATGGAGAAGTTCATATTCAATATGTTTATGTTTCCTAAGTTGCTGGTGATCAATCCAATCGAAATTGTAAAATCCAAAGTGATGAATCCAATATGACCGCGCTTAAATACTCAATTTTATCAGTTTTTGAAGGATATTTATTAAGATCGATATTCTCATTTCATTTTGTAAGAAATGTTCTTTACAGAAAGCTCTTCAGTTACTTATAACGAATCCGGGGTTAAAATTTCAAAATTTAAGATAGCAAATCCAATACGACTGTTCCAAATGACTAATTTTGTTATACCATGATGAGGAAGATCATATTCGATATATTTATATTTTTTGAAATTGCAGAATTTAAAATGATGGATCTAATATAGCGGCTTTTAGTGACAAACAATATTCCATTATTGCCTCCACTATTAATGAGTAAAATATATTGAAGAAAAATACTTCTTTGCCGAATGGCTCCGATGGAAATTTCGGATTTATGACAGTCGTTATCTGCGATTAAAAGAACATATCGAATTTGATACGTATCCATAATGGAATATTAAAATTAGTCATTTGGAATTGCCATATTGGATTTGCCATTTTGAATTTTGAAATTTCGACCTTAGATTCGTCATTAGCGACCTAAAAAGCCCTTAGAGAATATTCACACAGCAAAAAGACAGCAGCCAATCACAAATGACGCTGATAGTCTGTCTCTTTCTTGCGAGAAACAAATTATCAGCGTCTGTCTCTATCACTCTCTCTCTCTCTCTCTCTCTCTCTCTCTCTCTCACTCTTTTGGCTTCTGCTGTTCTGCTTTCTGCTTTTCTAGTAAGCTGAATCGTCTTTTTCGGAGAGAGAAAGAAAGAGAAGCAGAGAGAGAGAGAGAGAGAGAGAGAGAGAGAAGAAAGAGACAGACTACCAGCGCGAGTTCTGATTAGTTCCCGCCTTTCTACTTTCTGCTTTTTCTGTTTTTTCCCCAAGTGTGAATCCTCCCTTATAAATAAGCTTCTATAAAAAATTATTCGCTTTTATCCGTTTAGCAGAAAACGTTGATTTCGAGTCCACCAGTAAACTGGTTAATGTTTAAAACGGAAGTTCAGGTGACCGAATATATTTCTGAGACAACAGAAATCCCCTGATAAAATTTCTCTTGTGTTGCAGCCGAATTTCCAGCTGATTCCTAAAAAACAAAAGGTTTTGGTTGTCATAACTGAAATTCAGTTACATGAAGTGAAGAGAATTAAGTTTTCTGCGTGCACGTGTGGGATACAAACACACTCTCGCGGCTAAGCTCTCATGGCGATCACTCGGAATTGTCGCTAAAAATGACATTCTTTTCAGGAAAAACCAACCGTCGACGTGACAGCATGGAGGGGGTCCCTCGACGAGATTTCTGATCTAAGCGGCATGACAGCGACAGCGACATAAAGCTTCCTTCGCGGCCGATTTCAGCAGCACTTTGTCACGCAAGCGGTCCACTTCGACAGGTGACGCAATTCACCGGCGAGTTGTAAAATGGCCTTTGTTGTTTCGACGAAACGCCGCGCTTTGCTTACTTGGCACGAAGTAAAGCTTGAACTGTCGGCATTGAAATAAGCGGAGACACGGGAACGCGAAATTTTAACCGTTAACTCCGAACTCGATTTCAGCGACGTGAGCCACTCGTCGTCTTGCTCTCTCGAAAAGATCCAAACAAGCGGGTGTTAGAAATTCCAGCGTGAAATTTGTACAAGTCGTCGCATCGAGGGTAAGCATCGTGCTCGCGAGCGGCTTGGTGATGCTTAATTAAACGTTAATTAAACGAGGGCGCGCGGAATATGCCGGTGTTGTTGAAAAATACGTCCAATTCGTTTCACTCGATAGGTAATTCTCGAAGCGATAATCAGAGCGAAGGCCCGCCGAAGACGAGTTTCCCTTCAAGAGGGAAAAGGGAGGATTTTGCGGACTATTGCGACTTTTGTCGATCTAACCGCGATACAACGCTCGTCGTTGTATCGCGTTGCACTTCCAATTTCGCTCGCTGTCTTCGCCTCGCGCTCTGCCTTCGGTCGAGAATGATTCTTTCGGGCTCGGATAACGACGAGCGAAGATGTCGGCGCGCATATCGCGCGCGACGTCCGCTTCAATTACACCGTTAAAACGATATCGCTACCGAGTCCGAGCCGCCGCTCGGCGCTTTCGCGCTAATTGTAAGCTAGCCGCGGATACCGGAATTTCAGCCCGGCAAAAAGAAATTAATGGACGTTGTTACGGGAAAATTAAAGCGGTCGTGTTCGCGCAGTGGCGCGAGCTGAGTTTAAAGTCGCGATTAATTAAACGAAAAAGGAGCCGCCAAAGGGGCGGCGTTCCCGCTCGGGAAATATTCCACGAAGTTCCTCCTCCCCCCCGCTCCCGCGCGTTCCCCCGCGGATCCCGTAATTCGCAATTAACCCAAATAACGGTTAATAAAATGGCCGTGCCATTTTTACGCGAGCAAATCGAGCGTTTCTCGCAACTCGATGGGGCAAGATTGTTCCATACTGCTTGCGCGCTACACACACACACACACACACGCGCGCACGCGCGTTGGAAATTATAAGAGAGAAATATCTTTTTACACTCGCGCGGAATACGTTCGCCGGTGAGTGAAATTCGTCCGGAATTTCCAGAGGCGCGATCCGCCGCGGCTTCCTGCCGACTTCGCGACGAGGCGGCTGGACAGAAACGATGAATTCGCGAGTCGGTCGACCGCGAGATCGTGGTTTCGCGAGAGCGGCGCATTTACACCGGCACAATATAAGCCAAGCAAGCGTACGCTGGCATAATAAACAAAAGGCACGGACGAGCGATGAACCAATACATTCTCATTGGACGCCTTCGCATCCGGCCGGGGCCGAGCGCGCGGAGGACTTTTACGCGGCCGATCGGAGATCACGTGGCTTCCGCCAAAATTAGATTATCCTTTCCTTGACGCTGCGCGGAATCTTTCGCAGCGCTCACATAGCTGGCCGGCGCGATCGGAAATTCGCGCGTCGCGAATGTGCGCGTGTGAGAAGGATTGCGAGATAAAGTAGCGGCGGTTGCATGAATTCGCTTCGGTCATCGAGGATGGCAGACGCAGCAGTGGTCGTTTGAGAGAATTCGAGTGAAGAAGCGCCGGCCTCATCTTACGACACGATTGACGCTCATGAAGTGATTAATTAATTATAATAATATCCTTAACACGTCCGCGACATCGTGACTGACCCACTGGTAGATCACATTGATTTATATTAATATACGTGCGTGAAAAACTTCCACGTACCTATTTCTGTCGAAATCGAAGGATTTTTAACATTTTTGCTCACCATCCGCCATTGAATCCGCCATTTTGAATTTCGAAATTCTGACCCCGGATTCGTAATCGATGACCTCGAAAACCCCAGGGTATCAATTATCATCTATGTAGCTATAATTGTTCTCTTTGACACAAATTTTTTGTACAAAAAACACTGTTCTTTTGTATTTAACTATTTATATAAACAACTTCATAAACAATGAGAATTATACATTAAAACATACTTAATAATATAATACTCGAATGAAAACACAAAAAACAGCAAGAAAATCGAGTTTTTATACTCGAAAAACGTAATAAAATGAAACAAAAAAGGTGGGACTCCAGAGTTCTACTGTGCTTCAAAGGGTTAAAGTCATTCAATTGTTATTAAATTTATTTTCCTATCCCCTATGTTCACAATACGCCGAAAGCTATTTAATTACACAAAAATCTGAGATAAAGAAGCTTTAGGTAAATTAATTCAAGACACGAAAGAATAAACAAGCCGAGAAACATAATTTGAGTCAACTACAACGTCAAACGATTAAATAAATCCTAAGAAAACGCTGCGGTCCTGCGAGGATCCCCGCTTGATAAACAACGTTGATCGAAAACATGTTAAAGACTGATCAAGCCCGATTCGCATCTCCATGTCGCTTTATAAAGGCTGGAATATAAGAGAGGATTCACACTTGGGGAAAAAAACAAAAAGTCAGCATCCAATCAGAAGTCGCGCTGATAGTCTGTTTCCCTCCTCTGTCCCTCTTTCTCAAGAGAGAGAGACAGACCATCAGCACCACTTGTGATTGGCAACTGCCTTTCTGCATTCTGCTTTTCTGCCGAGGTGTGAATCCTCCCTAAGGGCGCATTCACATCTGGACAGAAAAGCAGAAAACAGGAAGGCAGCAGCCAATCAGAACTCGAGCTGATAGTCTGTCTCTCTCGTGCGAGAGTTTTTCTCTCTGTCACTCTCTTGGCTTCTGCTGTTCTGCTTTCTGCTTTTCTGCCCAAGTGTGGATGCGCCCTGAGAGTATGTGAAGTGCGAAACACGAACGCGATGCAGTCGATAGTTTTTAAGAGCACATCCGCGATCTGGAAATCCACGATTCAGAATATCGCGGCGAGCATTCGCGGATTAACACGAGCTCACAGATCGAACAGCGCGAGTTTCTGCTTGGTGGATGAATTTTGACCGAAACTACGGCAATTCGCGCCGATTGCCCTCGGCGAAAGCCAGATAAGCGGCTACCCGGCGCTGGGGAGCTATGAGAGTCGTGCGAGTCCGCGTGGAGCAGACGTGACTCATACTTCCGAAGTGAGTCACTGTAGATGCAAACTTATGTGTGCGTGTTTGTGGGTGTGTGTATGTCTATAATAAGGTTCCGCTGTGAGAGAGTTTCTCTACAGCGCATTCTCCCCTCGGAATTACCAGCGGAGAAGATCGTTTACTTCTCGTGTCGCTGGTAATCGTTGCGATATTTCTTCGCGAAAGAGTAAGAATTATCTCAAGAGAGGGACAGGAATAACCGCCACCGATATCGTTAGACCAACGCAGCGTTTAAGCACTTCTTCGCGGAGCTTTCGACTTTAGCAGCTTATGCAGCCCCGCTAATTGCCGACGATCAAATTGCCATTCGCCCCGGATTACACCGACCGCAATTGTGGTTTTCGCGTAACGAGCGATTTGCCACATCGATCGGCACACATTGTGATGACCCTGTGAGAAACCCCACGTAAGATACCCGAGGACGTTGCAAACGATGGGTGCGATGGTTACTCGGTTTATAACGTTTCAAAGTGCTCTCTCCCTTCCTCTCTCTCTCTCTCTCTCTCTCCTCTCCTCCTCTCTCCTCCCTCTCTCTCTCTCTCTCCCTGCCGTTCAATTTAGGTTTAACTAAATTTGTTTATAACTGCAAGTGCATAACAGACGCAACAGTGGATTTCTACCACACTCGCTTTCTGTTCGTTCAAAACTGCTTTTGAAGAAAATAGCAGATTGTGAATGTCGTCTTGCACTGACCTTAATTACACCGGTAAACATCGCCGTCAGTACTTATGAGATTTACAGGTAAATAAAACGAGCGCGTTGCCCGGCACTTTTAATTACACCGCTCACGTTCACTTTGAGACGAGCAATCGCTGCGAGACGAGCGGCAACGGCGGCGGTTGCAGCCGATTAAAAATGTAATATCGGCGGTACAATTCGATTTTATAGGAATCGTCTAGTTTTGCGCAAGAGGCTATTAAAAGAAGGAAACTGGCAGAGATTGGCTCATCGGGATTGTGCTCTTGCGCCCACGGGTAGAAAATCGTGAAGGCGCGAGGCGATCTCCAAGGACGGAGACAAGCAAACGAAACGTTCACTCGGCCTCGTTGAAAACAAGCACATACATGCTCTCGCAGAGAACGTTAATTTAAAATTGTGCGACTGCAAACGACAAGGCGATAAATTTCGGTGGGATAGTCACTGCGATAACGAGCGAGTTTATTAGTAAATCATTACGAAACGCGCAAAAGAATCCTCAGCGATCTCATCTGTCATTGCGTTTAATTTAGCAAAATCAATACGTGATTCTAATGATTATTCGAAGAGAAAAAAGAACGAGAACAGCTGAGGCAAAATATGTCAATTAGAGCAGCGAATTAGAACGTGAAACGATACTCCAACGGCGAGACTCAAAATTCGCGCACGATTATTAGGAAGCTGTTCGAACTTGGAGATCGCGACTGAAAGACAAGTCAGAAAATATTTGATATCCCTACAATTTAAAGCGGAATACTTACTAATATAGAAGAGCAGTGTCAAAGCTGACACAATACTGTAACGTTCGGCACACGCTTGTGAAATATTTTCTTGGACGATTATTGTACGACTGAATTTGGTGAGCTGCAGAATCGTTTTCATCTATCACACTTGAAGGCTTGAATCCTATTAATCGTATAAAATATCGTATAATTCATCGTTTACATAATTTCCAACATTGTTCTTTTTCGTATATAAATGATAAATACCGACTTTTTATAAATATACATACTCTCAAATATCGAATTATACCCAATCGTGAAAAGTAGATTTACCGTTTTTTAGTACTATTTCATACTAAGAGAGAGGATCATAGTATTTCCATAAAATAGGAAATTGCGAAGATTTGTAGAAACATCTTTCTTCCGAACATAAAAGTTACACTTGCAAATTTACGATACATTTCTTTATGTAATATTATAAACAATGCACGAAAAGGAAGTTGAATATACTGCGTGTAACATATTTGTTTTGTTTTCTTTCGCTCGTTGAACGATCCTCATATTCTTGTCTATACAGTTTTATTCGACACGCAAGCTGGAAGTAATTTTAAATAAAGACTGAAATATACATACTAAACAAATAAAGCTTGACTTTACTATTTTATTTTATTTGCAACATGGCAGAACAGGTACGTTATATGAATAAAGTATAATAAATTCGTTTATAAGTTTAACAGAAAAAATATCATTAATGTCATTATTTTTAGAGACATTTCCCATTTGTAATAGCAAATGATATACTAGTAGGCAAAGGACCTATTGATTATGAAGAGCCGATTATTAATATCGCAAAATTAATTTTAAATAATCTTAAATCTCAGCCGAATTTTGTTGCACAGGTATTACGTTTAAAAAAACGTTTATGTGCGTATATCTCGTGTAAACTTGATTGTTTGTGCGCGCGCGTGCGCGGGTGTGTGCGTGTATCTGCGCGCGTGTGTATACACGGTGATTCATTTTAATATATCTATTAAAATATCTTGAAAACTGTAAAAGATACCGAAAAACATCTGAAACAAAAGCTGTTTGATATGAAGAGGGACATAAGAAAGCGGTATCATTTTGTGTACAGGAAGCGCCGCTTCCGATATATTTACTGAGGATCACTTTTCTTAAATCAATACCCCCATTTTTGTTATGTCTTCTTTCTTTACCAATTAATTTAAACAACTTTCGTCTGAAACATTTTTCCATTTGCCAAACAGTTTTTGAGAAATTTAAGGAAAACTTGGAAACTTTTCCAATATTTGGCTTACGATATCTCGGCAACTATTTGTCGGAAAAAAGTAGTAATAGATTTTTTTACTCGATTTAGTCTTAAGGATATGCTGTTACAATCGTGCCCCAACTTTTGTTAACTTGATGATCTTTGGAAATTTCAAACGTTTCTCCGTATCTTTCATATTTCTCGAAATATTTGAGTAAATAAATTAAAATGAGCCATTTTTTATACATAAATATATATATATATATATATATATATGAGCCACCAAATAATGTTTTACTTTCAGTGTTAATTAACACTACATTATATTATTGCAACGAATTATATCGCTCAACACGTTTCGCAGGTGGATGCAACGACAGGGAGAGAAATTACATTTCAGGAAATAAGAAATACGACTGTAAAACTGGCACTATGGATGAAAAGTATAGATATTTCTACAGGTGACAAAATAGGAATATCTTCAGAACATTACGCAATTCTGTATGTTTTCATAGCGTGCTTGTATATTGGCGCTGTACCGGTTCTATGGCATGAAAAATATGATTCCGGTAAATTTATATTCCATCAAAACTTTAGATACTTTGCCTACTAATCATTGTGACAACCTGCACTTATAACAATAGTTATTTAATTATCTTATTTCTCAGATCATTTACTCGCGAAAACTTTCAGACAAAGCGTATACTATTGCAAGCGAAGTTTGTGGAAAACTTCTTTTCATCGACGACGTCTTCGCTATTGCTAATTACGATAAATTAACACAAAAGCGCTCAAAAGTGATAGTCTTTGGCACGCTCGAAGGATTCATGTCGTACAATATTTTGAAGCTAAAAATTGACTCAAGATACAACCAAAAGATGGTTGATGGTTTCATTTGCATCGAAGTAGACGAATATGAAGATACCGCGGCAGTACTATATACTCGTCGCACAAGGCTCAAGAAAAGTGTAAAAATTCCTCATAGATATTTCAACGCACCTATGAGCAAGCAAGTGTTTGATACGTTTCCCGGTAAGGTAGGAATGTGGGTAGGATCTTTCAGTTTATCCATTAACATGTTATTGGCCGTCTATTCGATACTCTGGCCCAAACGAATGATTAGATTTATGGGGTACACCAAGGAGAAAGTGTGTCAAGCTATAGCGAAGCACAAGGTATTGTACAAATAAAGAAAGATGTAGAAAGAAAAAAGCAACAAAGAGAAGAAGGGAAATCTTAAAAAGTGGCCCAGTATGCAAAGAGACAATATAAAAGTATTGTTTTCTTCCATATGTTGCAGGTTGACTGGGTGTTACTTGAAACTCAGATGTGCATAGAAATTGCCAATTCTGACATGCTTCAAAAATATGATTTCTCCTGTTTGAAGCGAATAATATACAGCGGTGCGGAAATCCCATATTACAATTATACAGATCTCACCCTATCGCTCCCGAACACTATAATCGTGGCACTATACTGTACGTGCAGTTACTATCTTTGAGTCTAAAGTACATTGGTATAGAAACATTTCCTTAGATAAAACTCCTGTTTAAGCGAGGCACCTCTATGAGGATCTTGTCAATGCAATTTTTCGATAACAAACGAATAACAACTGAGGCCGTTTGAATGTTGCTCAGGAGGATGATCTTTGTAATGTATGCGAAGGACAACGCTATCGAAGGTGTCTCCTTTAAACGGGAGTTTTGCCCCTTTTTAAATTGAGCTTGAATCTTTGCAGATACGATTGAGACGGGTATCATTTCTTATCAATCAACAAACAATAAAATCAAATCAAGTGGTCATATTGGAAAGAACGTCATGTTGAAGATTATCGATATCGACACATACGATCCAGTTGGCCCGAACGTGTGTGGGGAGATCTGTTGTTATTGTGTGAGCATGGCGAGGACCTATATATATAATAAAACTGATCATTCACTGTTCAGCCGTGACGGTTAGTTGCAAAGAACTTCGTCGAATCAGTTATGATCACGATCGTTATACAGTTTATAACATTTGTAGGAAACATAACGAACATTCAAACGATACATGAATAAAAGAAAAGAAAAGACATTTGAGAAATACTAATACACTTCGGTTTCACCCGTTTTTTCAGGATGGTTGCATACCAATGATACGGGCTATTACGACGAAGATGGTGAGATATTCGTCATGAGCCGAAAAATAGATTTCATTATGTTTAGAGATTACCTATATTCACCGGCTATAATCGAAAACTTTATAAGCAGATATAGCACTGTAGACAAAGTTGCTGTGCTGGGTATAATGAATGCGCAAGGTACGAAGCATCCAACTGCGTATATTCTGACAAAACCGGAACAACATGTAAGTATATGTGTAATAATTTGTTCCCCTTAAAACCAAGCGATATTCTCAAGTAAATCGTTCTTCAGATAGACGCAACAGCCGTATTCGCTGAGATGGATGCAAAATTAGATGACCATATGAAGCTTCGCGGTGGTATGAAACTGTTAAATGAGATGCCGTATGCGCTTGATGGCACTATCGATCGGCTTGCCCTTTGTAATGAAGAATATCGAGAACACCCTTTTACTCACACTACAATTCCCTACACGGATATGCAATAACAATGTGACAAGATCCGCAAAAGTAAACCCTTTTTTTTATATACATCATTGGACATGTATATTAAATAACATAAAAAGTTCGATATGTATACATTACTTTTGTATCTAACGTAATTGGATGTAGAACATGCACTCAATAATAAATATTTGTTTCTGTTAAAGAGCATAAGTGTAGAAAATAACCTCAGCCATGTGAAAGAATCTTATAAATGTCAGTCAAAGAATTGCACGAAGCATTGTACGATAACAAGCTCGTTTCTCAAGACAGTTTCGCGAGAAAATCATTCTCCGCGGTGATCTCCGTACCTCTTGGGATAATAAACTTTTGAAGAATTGTCATTTTTTACCCACGATCGGACGATGCTGGACGTACAGTGAAGTTTCGCGATTTTTGCGTGTTTTACTTATGTGTTTAACTTATGTTGCGCGCATAATCGTCGGATGATATCGTCCACTTTCGAGTTTTCAGCCCAAGGACTCTGTCTAAGAACAAATGAGAATACCACAAATGGCCGACGCTCATTATAAATAGCTTATATCCCTTGCAGAGAAATGTAGTACAGAGCGAACGTAATATTGTATTGCCCACGCGCAATATTCTCTTAGACAAAAGACATTTGGCGTAATTTGAAGATTATCAGTTACAATCACTTACAATCTTTTATTTTATCTATCAGTTATCTAACTCGATAAAGTTCTTCTGTACGCAATTTATGTATTATTCAATATCGCTATACACGACAAACCCTTACCTTAATTGTGTTTAATTCAAGTACTTGTATTCTTCGTTTGACGCTGACTGAGACTTTGATTTTCCAAATATTATAATTGAAAAGCACTTCAGGAGAAGTACTAGCCCCAAAAAGTTGGAACCCATAAACAATTGTAAGAATGTTTCTTTTCTTGTTATGCTAGACCTGTTGCACTTGCAAATTTGGAAATATATATTACGGTTAAAGTGATAAATCCAGTTACTACACATAATAACCGGTTATTATGCATAATAACCAACAGCTTTGGTTAATTTAATAAATTATTCATATTTTTGTCAAATTTGTCACATTATTCGGTGGTTATGAATAATAACCAACATGCTGTGGTTAAAGCGATAAATCTCCTGTTTCTGCAAGTTTGAGCTTGTCTCAGTCGTTACATAAGCGTTATTCGTCTGTCTCGAGGCGAATCAATACCGATGACTATACTTACTGTTTGTTTACTGTTTGTTTACATGCGTGTTGTCAAGGAGATTCATCTGAGTAATTCTCTGCAAAAATTAACTGCCAAATGACGTTAACTTAGAAAATATAGCAAATAAAAGTTTCATATGTAAGATACTGTTGATCACAAGCTTGCAAACTGCACGCACGGTTATTAAAGCCCACACGTAAGTTGCAAGTGCGTTTTGCATCGCGCGCTACGCGCGCGGTTGTTAAGACCCACGCGTAAGTTAAAAATGCGTGAGCTGCACGCACGGTTATTAAAATCCACGCGTAAGTTGCAAGTGCGTTTTGCATCGCGCGCTGTGCGCGCCCAATTACGCGTGAGTTTTAATAACCGCGCGTTACGCACTTTTAACTTACGCATAGGTTTCACACGGAGAAGAATATCAGACATTCGATTGTTAATTTTGTTATCCGATCAAATATCCGATTAAATACACCGGATATTTGATCGAATAACGAAATTAACAATCGGATATTTCGGATATTTTTCTCAGTGCAACAATCGTACAGCGCGCGATGCAAAACGCACTTGCAACTTACGCGTAGGTTTAATTGTTCATAACTTTGTAACATTTTGATATCGTTTGGAGTATCTTTGCCAATATTCATGACAATTGGACATAAATGGTTTTCAAAATTTTCTCCAAAATCATTTTCTAAATATCATTTATTATTTTAACCAATAAAGTTTGGTTATGTAAAATAATTGGTTAAAGTGATAAATTGCATGTATTTTATCATATTAACCAAAGCTGTTGGTTATTATGCATAATAACCAATTTGTCACTTTTAACCGTAGCTTATATAATATGTTTGACACTAGACGCGATCATGTCTCTTGACAGAGCTTAGTGTAGAGCTTAGTGTTTGTACATCACATTTGTTTTGTTTTCCTTTATTCGCATTCCTCGATTGAAACGAATCAATAGCTCTTTTACATATATCGCTATACGATATATAAATTACAATTTTTAATTAAAAGAAGACCTAAACATAAATACTAAACATAAAGAACTAGTTTCATAGCTCGTGCATATATATTGAATGTCCCAAGAGTATCAGAATGGCCAAATATCTCGAAAATAAAGCATTTTAGAGAAAAATGTTTTATACAAAAGATGTAAAATTTTAAGTGACGCATAACATAGCAATATAAATAGTGACCTTAAATAGTGTTGTTAAAGACATGTAGGGATCACATAGAAATTTTTAAATATTAGGAATATGCAAAAGTTTCCATTGTTTTTAAAGCAATGTCTTCTATTAATATTATTATAGAAATAATATATTCATGGGGATAATTCATGGGAAACACATTTTCTTTCCTTTAGAACTTTCTCCATCTCATGCAAGCGTCAAATTACAGTGCTCTGATTAACCTGTAACCTTTTCGCAAGTTCTACACTCGATTGAGTCGAATCTTCTTGCAATAACGTTTTCGAATCATCCAAATTCATCTCTTACGGTCGCCCGGCAGGCTTCTTGTCTTTCAAATCAAAATCGCCACTTTTAAGACCCCGAATTCACTCACAACATGAACTTCCAGCTGTTGTTCCCTCACCATAAGTTTCGCAAATGCTTCTGGTTGCTTCGGTTTTGCGCTGATGAAATAAAAAAAAAACATGCAAGACCGAATATGAATTTTATTGACTTTCATCTTCATATGAATTAAAAATGCTTATGTCAATGTGAATATGAGTTATTAGGCATTAGTTTCTATGCAGGTTGACCAATACTGACATAATCTGACAAAAATACATCGCAACTTTCATGTAAATAATTCACCATCTATACGCGAACGATGAAAACTTTCGCGTACCCCTAATAGAATACCCCTAATAGAGAGATTTGAAAAATACTAACACACACCATTTTCTCCCATTTTTCAGGATAGTTCCACACCGATGATACAGGCTACTACGACGAAGATGGTGACATATTCGTCATGAGCCGAAAAATAGATTTTATTATGTTTAGAGATTACATGTACTCACCGGCTATAATCGAAAACTTTATAAGCAGATACAGCGCTGTACATAAAGTAGTTGTGCTGGGTATGGTAAACATGCAACTGTGTATATAGTGACAAAACCGGGACAACATGCAAATATATGTTTAAAAATTTATTCCCCTTAAAATCAAGCGATATTCTCAAATAAATCGTTCTTTAGATAGACGCAAGAGCCGTGATCGCTGAGGTGAATGCAAAATTTGATGACCATATGAAGCTCCGCGGTGGTATAAAGCTGTTATATAAGATGCCGTATGCGATTGATGGCACTATCGATCGGCGTGGTCTTCAGAGCGAAGTATTACGACCACACAGTTTTAGTCACACAACAATTCCCTACACGGATGTGCAATAACAATGTAACAAGAAAGCAAAAGTAAACCTTTTATATACATATACAGAATGTCTCAAAAGTCACAGAACGGCCAAATATCTGAAAATAAAGCGTTTAAAAAAAAAATATTTTATGTAAAAGTTGTAGAATTTTAAGTGACGCATTACACAGCAATATTAATACGACCTTAAATAGGGTTATTAAAGACATGTAAGAATCACTTTGAAATTTTTAAAGGTAAAATTCCTAAGGTAAAATTCCTGAGGTAAAAACTGTCAACTTGGACAGAGAATTAGCGATGAGATAGCCGCTGCGATAACGAACGAATTTATTAGAAAATCACTGAAACGCGCAGAAGATCCTCAGCAATCTAATCTGTCACTGCGTTTAATTTAACAAAATCATTACGTAACTGTAATGATTTTTCGAAGAAAGGAAAGTATAAGAACAGCTGAGGTAAAATATGTCAACTTGAGCAGTGAATTAGAACGTGAAACGATTCTCTAATGGCGAGACTCAAAATTCGCGCATGATTATTAGGAAGCTGTTCGAACTTGGAGATCGCGACTGAAGGATAAGTCAGGAAATATTTGATATCCGAATATAAAACGGAATACTTACTAATACAATAGAGCAGTGTCAAAGCTGATACAATGCTGTAACGTTCGGGACACGTTTGTGAAATATTTTCTTGGCAATCGTTGTACGACTGAATTTGGTGAGCTGCAGAATCGTTTCCATCTATCACACTTGAAGACTTGAAGCCTATTAATAGTATAAAATATTAATCATTTACATAATTTCCGACATTGTTCTTTTCGTATATGCATGATAAATGTCGACTTTTTATAAATATGTATGCTCTCAAGTATTGAATTATACCAAATCGTGAAAAGTAGATATTTACCGTTTTTTTAATATAATCTCATACCAAGAGGGAGGATTATTTCCATAAAATAGGAAATTGCAAAGATTTGTGGAAACATCTTTTCACCGAAGGTAAAAATTACACTTGCAAATTTACGATACATTTCTTTGTATAGTATTATAAACAATGCACGAAAACGAAGTTGAATATACTGCGTATGTAACATATTTGTTTTGTTTTCTTCTGCTTGTTGGACGATTTCTTCTCCTTCTTATCTATACAGTTTTATTCGACACGCAAGCTGGAAGTGATTTTAAATAAAGTCTGCAACATATATACTAAACAAATAAAACTCGAAACAAATATTTTATTTTATTAACAACATAATGGAACAGGTAAGTTAAGTTAATAATGTATAATAAATCCGTCTTTGAGATTAATAGAAAATAAAAATGCGATTAATGTCTTTATTTTTAGAAACATTTCGTATTTAAATTATTAGACAATATGCTAATAGGCGAAAGACTTTTGACTAATAATGATGGGCAGATTAGAAACATCGGAATATTAATTTTAAATGGTCTTAAATCTCAGCCGGACTTTATAGCACAGGTATTACATATAAAAAAATATTTATGTGCGCATACTTCGTGTAAACATGATGTGTTTGCCTGCATGTGCGTGTGCGTGTGCGTATGCGTGTGCGCAGAGTGATTCATTTTGATATGTCCACTCAAATAACTCAAAAAATATAAAAAATACACCCAAAAAAGTATTCTATTTGTAAAGTGTTTTTTCCCATAGTCTCATATTTTAAGCGGATCCTGCTACAACAAGAGGATTCCTCTTTCGATAAAGCGATTAGAATAAACCATTTATCTAAAATTTATTAAATATTATTTTAACTATTTTCCTTTTATTTTAAGAGGATTTCCTCTTGTATCAATTAATTTCCCTTTTATATCAAGAGGAACTCTTGTTTGTTTCTTTCTTCTCTCTACTCACACAGAGACTCTTTGTACATATGATGATTGTCGGCGTTGTCTTTTGTTTTATGAACAACGTCGAAAAACGTAGAGCAAAGGAGAAAAGAAGAGAAATCGCTATTCAATGTATGTTGTATCTTCATAAACGAGGTGTAAGAATTTTTAGAGAAAATCGACTTAAAAACATACTGGCCTATATTTCAACGTAAATATTTACATATATCCATTTATCGTATCGCGTTGCACACTACATTAAATGCCATTTAGAATACTTAAAATTACAAATTTATGTTTTTTGCTACTTTTCCAGCAGAAAGTAAAAAAAAATTTAACTAGAATTTTTCTGGACAGTTTCATAATAATTTTCTCTTCTCTCCCTATAAAGAAACGTATACCTAGTAAGAATAAAGTACAGTAAGAATAAATAATAAAGAATAAATAATAAGTAATAGTAAGAATAAAGAATAAAATAGTAAGAATAAAGAATAAATAATAATCCTCTTAAAAAAAGATTAAATAATCTATGTATAAGAGGAAATTATTAAAATAAGATTTGTGTATCATACATCAGACAGAGTCTTCAAAAAGTCCGGGAATGCTAAAATATTTCGAAAAAATGAAAGATACAAAAAAATATTTGATACAAAAGTTGTAAGGCTTAAAAGGATCTATTTAGTAGTCATATCAGTTTGACCATAGGTAACGTTGCTGAAATCATATGAAGGTCAACTTTGTTTTTTTAAATGGAACCCCCTATTTTTTATTGGAAATTCTTATAGCATATCTTAAGAGCTTTCCAAAACACTATAATAAAGTCATTTTTTATTAAGTTCTTTCCGAGTTATGATGCTTGAAAGTTACAGTACCGCCGGCATTAGCATTACCCAAAGTATATCGCGCGGAAGTTGCACGGATTTACTCCTCGTGCGCGCGCGCGCGTGTGTGTGTGTGCGTGTGCGTGTACGTGTGCGTGTGTTCGTTGTTGTCAGACAAAGCTGTTTGACTTGAAGAGGGACGTAAGAGAACGATATCATTTTGCTTATAGATGACGCCACTTTGGATATATTTACTGAGAATCACTTTTCTTAAATGAAAATCCTCGTTTCTTGTTATATCATCTTTTTCTACCAATTAATTTGAACAACTTTTGTCTGAAATATATTTTTCATTTGCCTAATATTTCTTGAGATATTTAAAGAAAACGTGGAAATTTTTTCAATATTTGGCTTACGATATCTCGGTAACTATTTGTCAGATGAAAAAGTGGTACTAGACTTTTTTACTCGGTTTAGTTTTAAACATATGCTATTACAATAGTGCCCCAACTTTTGTTAACTCGATGACCTTTGAAAATTTTAAACATTTTTCCGTATCTTTCATATTTCTCGAGATATTTGAGTGAACACATTAAAATGAGCCATCTTTTATATATACATATAATTATATATATATATATATATGTGAGCCACTAAATAAAGTTTTACTTTCAGTATTAATTAACACTACATTATATTATTGCATCGAATTATATCGCTCGACACGTTTCGCAGGTAGATGCAACGTCGGCGAAAGAAATTACATTTCAGGAAATAAGAAATACAACTGTTAAACTGGCATTATGGATGAACAGTTTAGGTGTTTCTGTAGGTGACGAAATAGGAATATCCTCGAGACATTATGCAGTTCTGTATATTTTCCTAGCGTGCCTGTATATTGGCGCTATACCAGTTCTATGGAATGAATATTATGATTTGGGTAAATTTATATTCTATCAAAACTTTGAATACATTGCCTACTAATCGTTATGACAACCTACATTTATAACAACAGTTGGTTAATTATTTTATTTCTCAGATCATTTACTTACGAAAACTTTCAGAAACGTCGTTTATTATTGCACGCACAGTTAGTGGGAAACTTCTTTTCATCGACGAAATGTTCGCTAACACTTATCACCATGAATTAAAAGTGCTAAAGCCCAAAAAAGTGATAATTATGAGCTGGTTTGCTGGTCTCGTAGAATTCATTTCATATGAGGTTTTGGAGATAGAAATTGACTCAAAATACAACCAAAGAATGGTTGATCATTTCCGTTGCGTCGAAGTAGACGAATATAGAAAACATACCGCGGCAATACTATATACTCGTCACAGTGGGGCCCAAAGAGGTATAAAAATTCCTCATGCATTGTTTAATGCACCTGTGAATGAGCAAGTGTTTGATATATTTCCCGATGGCGTAGGCATGTGGGTAGGATCTTTCAGTTTATCCATTAACATGCTATTGGCCGTCTATTCGATACTTTCGTCCAAGCGAATGATTAGATTTATGGGCATTATGAGGGAAGAAATGTGTTATGTTATAGGGAAGCACAAGGTATTGTACAGATAAAAAAATGTAGAAAAAAAGAAAGAGCGAAGAGAAGAAGGAAAATCTTAAAAATAGCCAGAAATGCAAATAGAAAATATAATTGTTTCTTTCCATATGCTTCAGATTGACTGGGTGCTACTTGAAACTCAGATGTGCGTAGAAATTACCAACTCTAACATGCTTCAAAAATATAATCTCTCCTGTTTGAAGCAGATAATATACAGCGGTGCGGAATTCCCATATCACGATTATAAAAGTCTCAGCTTATCGCTGCCGAACACTATGATCGTGGGACTATACTGTAGTTATAGTTGCACCCTTTAAGACTAAAGAAGATTGGCACACAAGTATTTCCTATGGTAAAACTCCTGTTTAGGGAAGGCACCTTCGCAAGGACCTTGTCAATGCAACTTTTCGATAACAAACAAGCGACAGCTGAGACCGTTTGATTGTTGCTCAGGAGGATGATCTTTGTAATGCGAAGAACAATGCCTTCCCTAAACCGAAGTTTTACCGCTTCCAAAATCGAGCTTGAATCTTTACAGATACGGCTGAGACGGGTATCATTTCTTGTCAAATAAGAAACAATAAAATTAAATCAAGTGGTCATATTGGAAAAAGCGTCAAGTTGAAAATTATCGATTTCGTCACAAAAAATCCAGTATGCTCGAATACATATGGGGAGATCTGTTGTTATTGTATAGGCATGGCGCATATCGCATGTGACTTTTACAAAGTTAATTATTCAACAGTAAGCCCTGACGGTTAGTTGCAAAAAGCTTTATCCGACCAATCATGACCACAATCGTTACGCAGTTTAAAACATTTGCAAAATATTAACGCGTATCGGATTCTCCCATTTTTTCAGGATGGTTCTACACTAATGATATTGGCTACTACGATAATGATGGTGACATATTCGTCATGGGCCGAAAATCAAATCTTATTAATTTTAAAGGCTACTACTACTCACCAATTACAATCGAAAACTTTATAAGCAGATACAGCGCTGTAGATAAAGTAGCTGTGGTGGCTACGAAAAACGAGCAAGATGTGGATCATCCAACTGCGTATATCCTGAAAAAACCGGGACAATATGTAAATATATATTTAATAATTTGTTCCTCTTAAAACCAAGTGATATTCTCAAGTAAATTATTCTTTAGGTAGACGCAGAAGCCGTGATCGCTGAGGTGGATGCAAAATTTGATGACCATATGAAGCTTCGCGGTGGTATAAAAATCGTAAATGAGATGCCGGGCATGATAGACGGCAATATCGATCGGTTTGCCCTTGATGATGATATAATTGAACCAGTCCTTTTTGTTCCCTATAAAGCAAAAACATCCTAACAAGATCTGCAAAAGTAAACCCTTTCCTATACATATATATATACCGTGTGTTTCAGACCACCCGGGTCATCCGATTTTTTCGGTAACGCGACATTTTAGAGAAAAATATTTCAGACAAAAGTTGTAGGGCTTCAAAGGATCTATTTACTGACGCTATGAATTTGACCTTGGAATAATCTTGAAAAGTCCAGTCAAGATCAATATAAAAATCTGAAACGGAAACCGCGATTTTTTATTACATCGTCTTTTCCAGCAATTAATTTGAACAACTTTTGTCTAAAATATTTTTTCATTCGCCTAATATTTTAGATATTGGAGAAAAACTTGAAAACTTTTTCAATATTTAACTTACTCGCTAACTAGTTGTCGGAAGAAAAAGTGGTACTAGACTTTTTTAATCTATTTAGTCTCAAAAATATATTTTTACAATAGCGCCTGGACTTTTGTTAACGTGCTGATTTTTTGGAAATTTCAAAATTAAAACGAATCATAAATTCTTTTATATATATCAGTATATACATACAAATCCGATATAATTTTAAATTAAAAGAAGACCCAAACATACATATTAAATATAAAGAACTAATTTCGTAGTTCATGCATATATACAGAATGTCCCAAAAGTCTCAGGACGGCCACATATCTGGAAATAAAGCATTTTAAAGGAAAATGTTTTATGTAAAAGTTGTAGAATTTTAAGTGACACAGCAATATTAATACGACCTTAACTAGTGTTATTAAAGACATGTAAGAATCACTTTGAAATTTTTAAAGATAAAATTCCTGAGATAAAATCTGTCAACTTGAGCAGTGAATTAGCGATGGAACAGCCGCTGCGATAACGAGCGAATTTATTAGAAAATCATTGTGAAACGCGCAAAAGAATCCTCAGCGATCTGTTCTGTCACTGCGTTTAATTTAGCAAAATCATTACGTGACTGTAATAATTATTCGAAGGGAGAAAAGTACAAGAACAGCTGAAGTAAAATCTGTCAACTTGAGCAACGAATTAAAACGTGAAATGATACGCCAACGGCGAGACTCAAAATTCGCGCGTGATTATTAAAAAGCTGTTCGAACTTAGAGATTGCGAACAGTAGGATAAGTCAGAAAATATTTGAAGAATGAGAAGCATTTGAAGAAAACTGACTGTGTACAAGTGACTGCAATTTTAATATATTATCTCGTGTGTGTAAGTTTATATATTATTATCTAAAAGTTTATATTATATCTATTAAATTTATATTATAATTTAAAAGAATATCCGAGGAACGGCTAACAAAATTTTTCCACATACGAAATCCATAAACGTCTAATGGTCTAATTGCGTCTAATTGCAAATATTTGGTAGTTCCTTTTGGTATACTGAATAATTTCAATTGTTTTTCTTCCGATGTTACCTCGTGCACTGCTCGTGCACTGTTCGTTTACACTGACCGCTTCAAGAATCTAATAGTAAAACAGTTGCACAGTTAGTATTAGGTTGGGGAAAAAGAAATCCATTATTTTTTCGTTTATTTCAAGGCTTTATTTAACATAGTTAGGATTGTTCGATTTTGGTCAAATAAAGCACCGTTTTGTTCTACAATTTGTCGCTATTTTAAAGGTAATTTCATGATCCCTCTTTCATAGAAGCCCTGGTCCTTACTTGCAAAAAACTCGACTAAGCGATTTTCACAGTCTTCTCTTGAGGTCAATTTCTTACCATCAAGGAAGATTTGCAATGACAAAAACAGATAGTAATCGCTTGATGCCAGGTCCGGACTATAAGGTGGATGCATCAAAACTTCCCAACCAAGCTCCCGGAGTTTCTGACGAGTCACTATAGACCTGGCATTGTCCTGATGAAAAACAATTCCTCTCCTATTGACCAATTCTGGCCGTTTCTAGTCGATCGCTAGCTTCAAACGGTCCAATTGTTGACAACAGAGGTCCGAATTTAGTGTTTGGCCATATGAAAGCAGCTCATGGTGAATGATTCCTTTATAGTCCCACCAAACACTCAGCAAAACCTTCCTGGCCGTTAATCCTGGTTTGGCCACCGTTTGAGCCGTTTCGCTGCGCTTTGACCACGATCGTTTTCGCACAATATTGTCGTATGTAATCCATTTCTCATCCCCAATCACCATCCGTTTCAGAAATGGCTCGATTTCATTCCGTTTGGTCAAGACTTCGCAGATTGAAATTCGGTCCATCATGTTTTTTTGCGTCAATTAGTGTGGCACACAAACATCGAGCTTTTTTTTAATTCAGCTTTATGCAAATGGTTTAAAACTGTTTTGTGGTCGATCTTCAGCTCCTGGGCGATATTACGACTGCTAACATGCCGGTCTACTTCGATCATTTCCATAATTTTATTGACATTCTCGACGACGGGCCTACCTGTGCGAGATGCATCTTTAACATCAAAATTACCGGAACGGAATCGACGAAACCAAAATTGCGCGTGATTGGCTGTGACAGTATCGGGATCATAAACACCATTCACAATTTCAGCCGCCTGGCTTGCATTTTCGCCTTTATCGAAGCAAAATTGTAAAATATACCGAATTTTCTCTTTGTTGACGTACATCTTTTACGTGCTATAATTCACAACTTAATTGACAAATCACAAAACCGTTAAAGAATTTTTTTTAGTACGGAATGTCACTTTTCCAGCGAGTATAAATATTAACCTATGCGATTAATACATCACGTGATATATACCACTAAAGCCATCTAGCGGAAAAATAATGGATTTCTTTTTCCCCAACCTAATATGTGAAAAATAGAATTCCTTTAACGCGGATTTTAAAATGTTACAAATAAAAAAATGTTTGGTGGCCCGCATTTATGTATTAATAGTTCTTAATTCTTTTTTTTTATACCTGTAATATTTTATATTGTTGTAATAATCAAAATGCATTCAAATGTAAATAGATTTGTCATTTGCGTAGTAATATAGCAGTTAAGCGCTCGCGTACTGCGTTACTGAGCACTAATTATATATATGGACAAATCAATCTTGTACTATTAATGTAATAATACATTTTATTTTATATTATTATTCATTAGAATAATATGTAATTAGCGGATTGCAAAATATTCTACAACAGGTTCCTTCCAAGAAATATTCGTGAAAAAACTATTACCCGTACACATAATAGCTCTTATATTTTTAGGATAACACATTTTTAAAAAATTCTTATAAACTATCATCAGAAAATTCAACGTGCAAAAGAGTGCAATTGCATTTTATGAAGCACACATTCATGAAGGAAAATATAAGAGATAAAATTTAAGTTTACATTAAAGATAAAATTTAAATGTACATGTATTTCTCTTTTCTTTATTTTTTAACATTTTTTAGGTATAATTGACAGAAAAGTTTAATTTCATATATTCGGTAGTTGAATGCTATATTCAGGAAAAATTTTTTACTAAACATGATTTCTAATTTAAACTAAAGGACCAATAAGGACACATTGCTTTATGTTTGTGTGTTATCTCAGAAGACAATAAAATATTGATATTATAGGATTTCCGAGCGGTCTCGAATAGGGATGTTCAGAAAATAGGGATATATCATGATGAAAATATACTAAAATAAAATATTAAAATAAAATTATACAATATATAAGTATTAATAATAAGTATTAATATGAATATATAAGTATTAAAATAAAAGTAATATATAAAACAATATACCAAAATAATATACTAAAAATATATTAAAACTAAAATATCTTGGAATTTCTTAAAAAATAAATTATTAATTCCATTTTTCTATAAAATAAAAAGAAAAATCAAACATCTTTTATTTAAATAAGAACTTGATCTAGAAACTATTGATCGATTGATCGATTGATCGAAAAGGACCAACGATTATATTAATCGATGATCATCCATTGATAAACGTCCATCTCTACCACGAATTAGAAGTAGTTCGGAAAAGTGCCCGCTCAAGGAATGGCGTTTCCCCAATCGTCTTAACGTACGCCTACAGCCAATATTGAGAGAGAGAGAGAGAGAGAGAAAGAGAGAGAGAGAGAGAGAGAGAGAGAGAGAGAGAGATAATGAGAGAGAGAGAGAAATGTTTGGAAAAGAGGACCACGCTACAATATAACCTCAACAGAACGTGACGGATTTTTCTCAGCAGTCGTCTTTTGTCGCAGTTCAGTGAGTTTTATGTATTCCTTTTATATCATACACTTTGAATCTTAATTTTAGTGCTTAAAACTCCTTTCCATTATTTATGCAGTACCCAATATTGTTTCACTTAGTCTATGCACAATAAATATTTACCCCCTAATTTTGTATACTTCAGGTACATATTGTTTGTATCCTTTCCTTGATTTATATAACATCAATATATGTTCGATCTCTCTTTATTTTCTCTCTTCTTCCCCAATTTCATTTCGAAAGAAAAATTACTACCATATAAAATGTGAAAAATTTATAAAACAATTTTCCTCCGTGCTAATTTTACTTATAGATGTACAGATATATTTATCCGCTGATGTGACGGACATATACATCAAAGTTGTGTACATTAAGACTATATCTCATTATATATATACATACCATTTGCTTTGTTGTCTTTAGCACCGTAACAGAAATCCCAGACAGCACAATGTCCAAAACTGGGACATAAAACGTCTTTAAGACGTCTTTAAGACGACTTAAAGATGTCTTATTTTCAGACACTTAAAGACGACTTAAAGATGTCTTAAAGACGTCTTATGACCCAGTTTTGGACATGTGCGGTCTGGGATGTTATAGGGATATATATATACAAGAGGTTAACTCCGATATTTCGCGCCGTTGAAATACACCGTTTTGACACGTTAGATAGTTCGAGTGTGCAATTCGAAATAGATAATCCCCGGGCGTCTATATATTAACAGAAAGTTCAAGCAAATTCACATCAGTAGAAGAATAAAAAATTGCATATTTTTATACTTAACATAGAATCATTCGTCCACTGCATGTAATTCCGTAATACCGCGTGATACGTTGGCTTTATAGTAAAATCGTTACTAATATCACTAATACAATAATAATACAGGCGAACGAGAGATATAGGATTCTTCAGCAACATGGCATATGAGGTAAGTTGTAAGGTGTATAACGTATTACGAGAAACGTTTTAAAAAATTAGCGGAAATGTTTATTATCGAAGCTAAATTAATCGCAAATACTGTGATCCAACTTTTTTTTTCGTAGAATGTTCCATTCACGGTAAAAGACAACGTCTTGATAGGTCAAAGAATTCCCTGCGAAGACTTGGATAACGTGAACATCGGAAAACTAATTCTGAAAACCCTTAAATCTCAGCCGAATCACATTGCGCAGGTATTACGTAATTACACGAAAAAGATACCTATGCATGTATAAGTGATGTATAAGTCGATTGATCTTTTACTTATAGCGAGAATTTACGTTACGTTACCTTAGATTAATGAATTACATCGATTGGCACGTTTTATAGATAAACGCAGAGACGGGAAAAAAAATTACATTCGACGAGATAAGAAACATAAGTGTGAAATTAGCAATATGGATGAAAAACGAAGATATTTTTCCGGGAGACTTGGTAGGAATATGCACGAATCATCATGTTGGAATGTATGCTCTTTTAGCGTGTTTGTATATCGGTGCTGTTCCGATAGTGCTGAAATACAATCAACACGCAAATGAAGGTACAGACTTAACTCTTCCCGACTCTTCGTGCGATTTATTCGGTTATTGTCGTATGACTTAGTTTGACAATTATTTAATATATCATATGGTATCTCACTTTAATCACCACGACATCCTTCTAGACATTTCGTATCATTTTGTGCGTACCCGTCCGAAGGTAATATTCTTCGACAAGATGCAACCCCAGGAATCAGAACTTACTGATAAAGAGGATGATATGCGGATGGTTCTGTCAGTGTTACTCGACGTGTTACCATCGAATTTATTCAATGAGTCTTCTTCAGTTACAACTTTTACTTACAAGAGCCTCATTTCTCGTATAGATGAATATTACAACCAGATGGAAGTAGATTGCTTTACTTGCACAGAATTAGATCAATTCAGACTAGAGACCATGGCGATAATATATACTCGCGGTTCTAATGATCTGAATAAAGCCGTAAGGATATCTCATAAAGCAGTTATGTCACTGATAAACCAGGAATTCATTGCTGCATTAAATGGCAGCACAGGCATGTGGGTGGGACCTCTATATTTATTTCCCAACCTGATAATAGCCATTCATTCGATACTAAAATATAAACAGACAATTAAATTTGAAGGAGACGACATGCGAAAAATGTGCACAGTCATGAAGAAGTATGAGGTATTTGTATATACACATACACACAGGAATAAAGATAGCCAAAAAAAGATATATAGTCTCATATAGAAAGACAGTGTATATAAAGTACAAAATTCTTGCATCTATTTCAGGTAAATTGGGTGCGACTTGAAACTAATCTGTGCCAAACGATTTTGGATTCTGGAGGCCTTTTGCTATCTAATGTGTCTTCTTTAAAATTGTTAATATTCAACGGCTCGAGAATGGATCCTTCTTTTTATACAGAACTCACCAATCTATTGCCAATTTGCTGCGGTAAAAACACTGTTATTATGTCACTATATGGTATGTATAATTGTTATAATTACCTCCGAAAACCACTGGTGGTGAAATGTCCCATAAAATTGTCACGATAGAGCTTGGATCTTTCCAGGTAAGATGGAAACAGGCATAATCTCTTTTCAAAAATTCAACAGAAAGCCTGGATCTAGCGGTCATGTGGGAAAAAATGTCCGCTTGAAGATCACCAACTTCATGTCCGAGACGCCGTTAGGCCCTAATATGCCTGGTGACATCTGGTGCAACTGTTGGGGCGTTTCGGAAAAATATTATGACACTAACGATGTAAATAATATGTGCGTGACAAATAGTGAGGGTAGGTTGCAAGAAGCTTCGTCTGTGATTGACTGTACATATGACTGGGAATTTCATATAAAATATTATAGTCTATAATATGAAAGGAGACAGTAAGCAACTATGCGGGCCATTTATAAAGAAATAAGAGGGCAAGAAAAGAAAATCTCCACATGAAAACGACTTTTCCTCTTTGCTAACTGACGTTACATGTTCCTCAGGATGGCACTGCACCGGAGACGTAGGCTACTACGACGAGGATGGTGATATATACGTCACTAATCGGGTCGAGGATCTCGTCAACTTCAGAGAATTCTGTTTCTCACCGACAATAATTGAAAAAATAATAAAAGAAGAGCCTGCCGTGGATGAAGTCGCTGTAGTGGCAATGCCGCACAATGTCGACACGGAGCATCCAATGGCATTTATTACGATAAAGAAGGGAGAACGGGTCAGGACATTGAGAAATCCTCTGTTTCTTACATATTCTTTTCTTATTATTTTCTTATTTCTCTAAAAACCAAGATATTCTATTTAAATAAAGCATGCTGTATTTTAGATGAAGAAGAAAGACATAGAGAATATAGCGGCGGAAAAATTGTGGAACTGCATGCAACTTCGAGGCGGCGTGATGATATTGGATCGAATGCCGCATGGTTCTGATGGCAATGTCGATCGGAGTTACCTTCGGCGTGTATACAAGAAGAAATATGATGAATATTGTATACCCTAATAAATACATTCATTAGAGTCAACGCCACTAAAATAATAATAAAGATACAAGCTTGTTTACATACAAAACATTATACATCCATATAACAAAGAATATTATGAATTTAACACTTAGACACTATTAAGTTTCTATAATTAACATAAACTGTAGCACATGTGTCCAATATTAAATATTTGTGTCCGTAGAGATGCGCGTGTTATAGAAAATAACTACATGTAAAGATGAACGAAAGTGTATATATGATATTATCACGATATTAATTAAAATAATTCACAATTAGAGAATTAAGAATTTCTTCGCAATAAATAACTGTTTCCGAGAAATTTCAACAGGAAAAATATTACGCACAACGCCCCTATACATACTTTAGGATAATAAACTTTCAATCGATTGTCGTGTGTATTTTTCATCACCAAAATTACCAATTTACGTGAAATTTATATTTCCCGCGTGATCACGGAATGACAGGATAGATCTTGAGATCTCTCCTGAAGAATAGGTAATAATATCATCGACATTGAAACCAATTACAAATAAACCACTTACTTCAAGAAAGTAGTTTAGTGCGGACGAGACAACATAACGTTCTTACACGGTTACGATACAGAGAACTCTGTATTAATTTAACGTACTTTAGTACGTTCTAGCTTTACGAGCATCTCGTTTATGTTTTAGGTTTTATTTCCATCAAATCAAATATTCCTCTTCATTATTTATACAATTATATATAATATTATTTTCCTTATCCATGCATAATAAATCCTTGCGCTTTAATTAAACATATTTTAAAAGATGCCTCTGTCCTCTTTTAATCGGTGCTCTGATTCCTTCGTCTACTTTCATTTAAAACAAAATCACTTTGTAAAGTTTGATTTCGCTAAAGCAGTTTCATCTCACATATTTACTTTTATATTACATATATATATAACTTAACTTTACATATATATATATATATATATATATAATATTCTAAAAACATCAGGATCTAAATAAAGTCAAGTTTATTATGTCATACTTTTGCATTTTTTCTTTTATTTTTTTGGCAATTAGAATAAAGTTGAGTACTTTACACACATCGTTTCATTTGATGTAGAATTAAAAATGACTTTAAGTAAATAAAAATTGAAAAGTTCATACTCTAATTAAAAGAGAAAAATTATCCCATACATTACATCTCATATGCGAACATGCATATGCGCATATTGTCATATAAATGAATTTCCTTAAAGAAAATGACAAGTATATTTATATTCAAACTTAATGATACGCAACAATAGTTGCAACTGCTAATAATTATGTATACTGTATTATTATCCTGAGAAATTTAATTAGAACTATTACCGATATTATTAGCGTGGTAACATGTATACGGAAGGATACAAAACTCGTCAGAGATATGGCATCCAAAGTAAGTTACATATAAAATACGATTCATTTTGTAAGATTAATGAAAATGCATAAAGATATTATCGCTGTCGTTATCCATTATTTTTAGAAAAGTTTACCATTGTGATAAAAAATAACATTTTAATAGGCGAATTCTCTCTTTTTCTCTCCCTATATATATATTTATTTAAATTTTTATTAAATCATATAAAATTTTTTATTAAATCATATAAAATACGATTCATTAAATGTTGCAAATGTTTTGAACGCCGTATAATAACCTTCCTTTTAGCGCTCAAAGCTCAAGAGGACTTTGCTTACTATTGGTTGGGTGACAAAGTTGCGCACATGTAATTCATTTTTAGTTACACTAACATCAAAAATGCTGACAGAGAGTGTCGCAACTGGATATACTGTGATTTCGGTCCAGTTTCAAGGCTTTGATTGGCTGACATTTCCGAGTTTAGCGTCGCTACATTTTATAGGTACACTTTACAAGTTCCTTTATTTACGTGAAAACAAAAACACACAACGCGTCGTAACTCGAGACAACGGTAACGTTTTAATACGACTGCGAAACACTTCGACGCGTGATAATCACTGAAAATACTCTGGTGAGTCTCGGCTCTTTTACATCTTAATTCCTTTAATTTTAGATATTTCTTTTATGATTAAGCAGATATATTTCAAAATCTATGTAACATACTACGAACAATAAGCTTTATTTTTTCGTGACTAATCGCGGCTCATTATCTATGCATGCCTCCATACATCGTTCCAACTTTCAGACTTGTTTTTTGATTATTTATTTCGGACTTCTTGCTTCTATAAACCACTTTTTTCGACAGAAGGGCCATACTGCCCGTGAAATTGTTATTAACGGTTTGGAAGAATGTACAAAAGTTCCCCTCAGAACACATTTCACACGGTTTGAGCCACAAATTTAAAAAGGTTTATTTTTCTTATATACAACCGGCATTATATAAAGTCATGTAAACTATAACTTTGTTTTGTTCACGTCATATTTTTTTTCCTCTTGTCTATTAATTATAATAAGTTTTTTTATAAACATATCTCCCTATAGACACAAATTAAAAGTTGTCTAAATAAATACCGAAACTTTCATATTAAAATATTGAGAGTTATTCTCTCGTTCTCTCCCTCTCCTCTCTCTCTCTCTCTCTTTCTCTCTCTCTCACTCTCACTTTCATGTACATTAATTCACGTGTGCTAAACATAGGTATACGATGCATAATCATTGAATAGACAGTTACACAAAAACCATGTCGTATACGACATAAATTATAATTTAATGCTTGCTCATGCAGAGGCATTTGATTTTATTGTTGCAAAGAACATATATTCTTTATTTTGTCATGATGTATAATCCAGATTTAATTAAATTAGATCAAACTACATTTAACCTAATATAAAGTATCACATTCCAGTGTATATTGTGTATATATGTATATTGTGCTGTGCACGCGATGAATGATTTTCAGTTGGAAAACATTCGTCCACTGGCAACAAAAGTTCAAATAAAAAGTGTAAATTCCACACATCCAATAGAAAAGCCTTTGTCTTAATAATTTCCCGCAAACTCTCTTAGAAATTTTTTAGACATGTCGACTACATTCCGAAATGTATCAAAAAGAAATCAAAGGTCAAATCGACCTGCAACCAAGCATATGTTTCTACAACTGTATTTTGTATAAAATCAATTTTAATCTTATTGATGCACAGGATAACGATAAAAGTGCGAACGGATGAGCAAGTGAAATGAATACATTAGCCAGTAATATACAACACAAGGTAAAACACATGTATTATTTTACATGACATGTATTGTCAATGCATACGTAGAAACGAATAAATATACACATATTGCGCGTACTTAGATGAACACAAGTCCCTTTTCTGAAAGCCGTGAAAATAAAATATATTGTCGCTAACATTATTTTTAGGAAGCACCTGCATATACACCTCCAAATTACATCTTAAAGGGTGAAAAAGATGCAACTATTAAAAATATTCAGCATATCGGATTTCAACTTATAAATTCCTTCTTTCACAGCAAACAGGATAAGATTTGTCTGGTAACATATTTTGATAATAAAATATATTTCCGACACAACATGCACGCACTCGAATATGCCTATATTGAGAAGGCATTAATTAATTAATAACGTCTAACGATGTACATACCTTAAAAAATCTTTGATAATTCTTTGATAATTGTGAAATATATAAGGTTTCTTACTTTAAATGAGCCAGGCAAAAATCTCGAAAAATATGAAAAATATTAAGAAACGTTTCAGACAAAAGTTGTATCATTTTAAGGGAGGCATAAAACAACTATATCATTTTGTTTTTACGTTTTTGTTTTATGGTGCCACTTTTGAGATATTCACTGATCAATTTTTTTTTAATGGAAATCCCAATTTTTTATTACATCATCTTTTTCTACCAATTAATTTTAACAACTTTTGTTTGAAACATTTTTTTATTTGCCTAATATTTTTTTAAATATTTAAGAAGAACTTGATAACTTTTACAATATTTACCTTACGATATCTCGTTATTTATCGGATGAAAAAGTGGTGGACTAGACTTTTTTACTCTATTTAGTCTCCAAAACATATTGTTAGAATAGCGCTCTAACTTTGTTAATTTGATGATTTTGAAATTTCCAAAGATAAATTAATAAAAGTTAGGGTAACAATATATTCTTCAGACTAAATAAAGTAAAAAAGTCTAGTACTATTTTTTCTTTCGATAAATAATTAGGGAAATATCGTAAGTTAAATGTTGAAAAAGTTTTCCTTGAAAATCTCAAAAAATATTAAATAAATAAACAAATGTTTCAAATAAAAGTTGTTCAAATTGATTGGTGGAAAAAGTTGATATAATAAAAAATTGGGATTTTTATTTAAGAAAAGTAATGATATAGTTGTTTTATGTCCTCTTTGAATCCATACAATTTTTGTCTGAAATGTTCCTTAGTATCTTTTTCTGAATATATTTTTCGAGATTTTTGTCTGGCTCATTTAAAATAGAACACCCTGTTAAAATACCCTGTATACATTAACGCATGTCTTGTACACAGATAAATCCACTAGATCCCGACCGTAGTATAAAATATTGGGATATCAGAATGGAGACTATGATACTGGCTTTATGGTTCCAACGGCAATCTGTTGTATCAGGCGATGTAATAGTACTATGCACAGATAATATGTTAAATGCGATTACACCTTTTATCGCGTGCATGTATTGCGGCATTACTGTAAACCCGTGGCATGGGCACCTCGATAAAGGTATACCTTGACTTTCCGTCAAATTCATAAAATCACATAAAATCACATAAAAACACATAAAATCATGTTGCGCTGTCGTTGTAACTTAATTTGACAATTGTAAATTAATTTGACAATAAGTATATTTGTTAAAAGCCGATTTTTTATTCTTACCGGGGAACATTTTCAGCACGCATACGACACTTCCTCACGCAAGTCATGCCAAAGATAATCTTTACCAGTGACAAGATAGCTCCAATAATCTACGAAGTGGTATTGGAATTGGGACTTCACCTGAAAATCACACTCGTAAAAGTGCCTGTTGTCCAGGAATTATCCAATGAATATTTCTTGAAGCTATCGACAATAGTGAGACCAATAGAAGACTTGGTATTGAACAATAATGACGAAGATTATGTCAAACATATGAAGTCGACGATCTGGAACTCAATGATAGTATTTTCCAACCAAGGCGACACTCCCAAATCCGTGAATATTCCTTGCACAATCTTTAAGTCTCCGAGGAACAAACAGATACCTGCTATGAGCGCTAATAAGATAGGCATGTGGTTGGAGTCTGGCACTCATCCCTTTTATCTGGTGCTGATGATGCGTGCAATACTCTCGCATATGACAATAATTAACGTCCCGGAATTCACAAAAGATTACCCTGACAAGGTGTGCCAGACCTTAGAGAAGCACAAGGTATTACAAAAATAGCAGTAAAATAGAAAGAAAGTGTTACAAGAGGATAACACGAGGAGCTCGCCTTGAGAAAACACTTAATGAAATATTCTCTGTTAGGTCAACTGGTTGATAATGGATAGTAAAAGATGCAAAGAGTTTTTTCTGTCTGGGGTATTTGTAAGATACAACATCTCACACTTAGAAACAATTATAATCAGCGATGGTCCCATCATACCATATGTTCATAGAGGTCTCATAAGAACGTTGCCAAAGATCCGTATTCTAACATCATACTGTACGTACAATTGCGTATTACGATAATGGACAATGGCCATGAGAAATGGTTTAAAGCTAAAGCCGTCACTATGATCTTTGCGAATATTTTCAGGTCTACCTGAGACAGGTATGATCGCGTACCAACAGGTCTCCAGTAAATACGGTTCTTCCGGCCGCGTAGCGGTAAATGTTGATTTAATGATCGTCGATTTGGATAGTAAGGAATCGTTAGGCCCAAACCAGCGTGGCGAGATCTGTTGCAAATGTGACGGCATGATGTTTAGCTATTACAAGGATCCCAAAGATAAAGCTGATCGGATAATCGATAAAGACGGTGGGTGTTACAACGAGTATTTTGTCTACACCTATGTAATTATAATTTAGTAAGCTAATATTGTTCGGTCTGCAAAGTCCGTAAAAGTCAACGATAGCGTCAATCCTTGATAAAAAAATTAACGAGTATTCCTCAGGATGGTTTCGTACTGGCGATGTAGGCTACTACGACGACGAGGGAGACCTCTTCATTATCGGTCGAGTCGACGAAGTTATCAGATACAGAAACTGTTATATCTCAGCAATAGAACTCGAGAATGTGATAAAATGTCACGAAGCTGTAGACGAAGTCGTCGTAATACCTTTGTCGCATTGCGCCGACGGCCAGCATCCAGTTGCGTGCGTTACGATAAAGCCGGAATTACAGGTAAAGATATATTTGTGAACAAATTATTACCCTTTCGAAAATTACTTCTCAACGCTACGCGTCGTGTCTCAGGTGATGGAAAAGGAGCTGATGGATTTGGTGGCGAGAAATTTGCCGATCGACAAAAACCTACACGGAGGTGTGATATTCATATCTAGTATGCCTCGCCTATCGTGCGGCGCAATCGATCGGAAGCTACTTCTGCATTTGGTGAACTATAATCAACAATTTATATCATAATAAAATTCAAACAACGCGAATTTAAACAAACCAATGTACAAGTAATACCGTTAAAATAATAATCAATTTGCGGGCTTCAACTCACGGCTGTTGCAAAAGGTGGAAATTGTCGTCGGTAATCTCTTTATATAATTTGCGCGTCGTGTACCACAGATATATTCGATAATAAATATTTTGTATTTTTCTACAGAAAATGAGTTGTGTTATTCAATAATAATATTAAATAATATTAATGCGATCGCGCGCACTCACCAAAAAATTATACGAAAAATCGATTTGAGACCGATCTATCGATTCGATTATTCGTTTTGAGTAGATGATAGAAGATCGATATAGATAAACAGTGACAGAAGAAGAATATTCTTCTGGATCCGGAGCCGAGACAGAGAGAGAGAGAGAGAGAGAGAGAGAGAGAGAGAGAGGGATGGAAGAGAGAGCTGAAAACGAAAGCGTCATAACACGTCCACTCTCATCGATTCATGTGAGACTATTTTTTTGCATTTAACTCTGCGTCTAGTGAATTGTGTTATTCCATTTTCATTATCTTTTTCTCATATCGATTTCTTATCATGTTGAAACATGGAAATTGAGTCGATAAATCGATATCGACACGATTCGTATCCTTTGACATTTCGCAAATATATCAAGTACTAAGTAATAAGTAATTCTGAATATTTGGAATAACGATTCTTCTAGTCAACTATTGAACTGTGTTGTTTGAAAATAAGACGATTCTTTGTGATTTACCACAATTGTGTCTATTATTTGAAAAGTAAGATGACGCGCAGTTGAGATTAAGATTTCTTTTCATTCGTACGCATTGTTAATCTATCACTTGTTGATTGTTCAAAGAAACGAGAACGGTATACTAAAGCAATAATATATCACTATAGTAACTTCTTACACAGCACAAACAGTTGCAGCAATATTACTGCAACTTTTATGCTGTATGGATTTCTACGTTAACGTCTCGAGACAAATAGGGGCGGCTAAAAAGTAACCATACTGCACATCAAGATTATTATACCGATCCGTGTGCTATAAGCATCCGCTTTTCATAAACGCAATGCGTCTGATTAACGACGGCCATAACCGTTAAAAATTGCAGTTAATAGACGGCAGTCTCTTAAACATCAGAGATTCGGCAACAACGAATTTCTCAAAGTACAAACGCATTCGTCATCGCATGTCCTTGATATGCGTCTTAACTAATTATAATTATTCAAATATCGACACTCACATACGGCAGAAAACACACGTTTTACGGTCTTGAACGTAATGGGTTCACAATGAACCGCGGAACGCAGTATTAGCATCGGTGGCGGCTCATAGCGAGAGCTTTGAAAACTAATAAACTCAACGGGTAACAAATCCGATTGTGTTCGCCTGTCAACGAATCTTCGTATATAGTTAACGTTAGATGCCACCATCGATCACATTTTAGGAATCCAGCGAATGCACCATTTCGAACGTAGTTCCAAAATCTCCGCTACGAGTCGCCACTATGTCGAGCGGTAAATCGAGGCCGAGGTGCGAGTGCGACTTAACGGCCGGTGAGTTAACTTTTTAATTTTACAATATTTATTTTTGTGCAACACGTTTCGATGACGGCGACAAGTTGCTCGCAATAGCCATGTAGAATCGTTCCCCCATGCGGACTGATCTATTATAGGCATTATTCGCGATCATTCTTATAGAATCTTATCGGGCCGTTTGGCGCCACTATGTCGGCATAAAACGCAAAATTGCGTATCCGATATCTTCGACCTGAATTGCTACGGTCTTCCAGCGAACTGCGAGTACATTGACATTCGACGGTCGGTTATTATCGGAGATTATCGGCGATTTCCCAACCTCACGAGTGTTTTTCCGTATATGCCTGCACATTATTCGCGGAATATCGCCAGGCAACCTAACCCCCGTCACTTTTACTCACACGCGAGCTATCAAGAAATTCCAAGCATTACTGCAATTGCCATATCCCGCGAGCCATTATTCGCACGTGGAAAAAACGCACGTGAGTCCTACGGCCTGTGGCAAGATCGGGCTTACATAAACCGTCAATTGCCGGGCTTGAAAATCACGTGGCGCAATGAAAACTCGATATCCTTGACGGCGGCGCACAGAAGCGACATGTCATTATCCTGACCGTTATAACGATGATAATTATTCTCTATTCCGCTCGCCTGCTCCTTCTCCTTTTTCTTATAACTTAATAAGGACAACTAGGACGACAACAGCGACAACCACGACGACAACGACAACGACGATGACGACGAGACGACGACGACGACGACGACGACGACGACGACGACGCGAAACCAATACGCGGCACAGATCAAAGACGACAGGATCAAAGCTATGCCGACGTCATCGTTCGTTGATCGCGTTCGCTTTCCCAGACGGCCACTGAGAAAGAAAAACTTTGAGAGTAAATTTCCTTGCCAAGACAGAGTTATACCATGAATTTTGCATCTACATGCTCAAGTATTCACTGATAAAAGTTGCAGCGATAAAGACCAAAAGTCGCTCAACACTTGAATGGGTCTTGGCTATTATTGCAAAAGTTACAAATTTATCTCTCCTTAAATCCCATAAATATAAGCTACGTTTGATTAATTTCTCCCTTAGCTTTCGATGAATTTTAAGCCTGACAATTTGCATCGACACGACTTGTATTTGCAACCGTGACTCAATCCTCTTTTCACCAAATGTATCTTTTCCCACCCCCTGTTTTGAATACTCGCAATTATTAAAATATAAGAAACGCATAGGGCGGGGAAAAAAAATTAGAGTAAACGACCATGCTTGTGCTTCTTTGTCACACGAAATTCCGAGACAACTTTGAATAATCGTTGCCGATAATTTCGGCTAATTTTGTCAGCAGTGCGCAAGGAGTCTTGTAAAATTGGTGTTTTACACCGAAGCGATTACCGGGCAATTTTCATGCCTCGTTTTGCATTCGCGCACTTGACCCGAATACATCGAAATAGTCACGTTGTTCGCCGACCTTGCACGTTCGCGATTTATCAGCACGAAAACGACATATATCTCTCTCCGCTCGCTCGCACTTCTACATACCCGACTCCACTTTTTCTCTTTCTACAGTCCTCGCCCGGCGAAAAGAAAGCCGACGACGCGAGCTGTCGGCCGCTCTTTTCGCGGCGAGTATACACGCGTGTTCGTACTCGAAACCGTCAACGGACGTTCATTCGGCGCGCGCGACCGCCTTCTCTCCCCTCTCTCGCGCTCGTCGCGATAAAAGATTAACGCTCCGTTTGATCGCGCGAGCAACAAATCGTGAATAATGCTACGCAACGGTGCAAACTGAACGCGTCGAGCCCAATCCCGCGTTGGATCTACGACAACGAGACGCTGAAAAAAAGGTAAATGTGACGTCTAAGAGACCTGATCCCCAAGTAACATTCAGGAGGTTTCAGCCGACGCTTGTAGTTTATTAAAAAGTTATTAATCCTTAAAGGCCACCGCGGGTGAAATTTCACCCCGTGCGAATTTTGTTTTACTTTTATTAAATGTTAAATTATCTGCTGTAAACAACAGCTCTACTTTTCATCTAATCTATATTCAATAATAATAAAACGTTTCACTGCATGTGCGTTCGGCTTTTTTTATTTCTAAAATAAAAAATATGTGCCGGGGTGGAATTTCATCCATGACGGCATTAACGTGTTTTTTTTTCGATGGTAACTTTTCAGGGTTAACAAAAAGAGTTTCATAAATAAATTTTCCGACATCCTATTTTTCCGACACAGTATATATTAAAAATATTAAATAGTATGACGTTGGGCGTTGTTGAAAAAGGCCCTTCAAAACCCATAACATCTAACTATATGCAAAGATATAATAATTTAGATGAAGATTAGGTTTAGGTCCTTTCCGAGGAGGAGGTGAAAAAGAAGAGATTCCACCCCTGCAAACAACAACTTCTCCACTTTTCATCTAATATTCAATAATAATAAAACGTTTAATTGCATTTGTATTCGACTTTCTTATTTCTAAAATAAAAATATGTGCCGAGCCGGAAATGATATTTCATCCATATGGCATTAACGTCATTTTCTTCGATGGTAACTTTTCAGAGTTAACAAAAGGAGTTTCATAAATAGAAACTATTTTTCCGACACGGTGTACATTTAAAAAAATACTAAACAGTATGACGTTGAACGTTATTGAAGAGATCCCTCTAAAGTCCACAACATCTAACCATGCAAAGATATAATAATGTAGATTACGGTTAGGTTAGGTTCTTTCCAAGGAGGGAGTGAAAAGGAAGGGGCTCCCCTTCCCTTGCATATATGCTGTTTAACATTTCTTAATCTAAAATTTCTATTGACAACTTCTGTTAACAACTTTGTAATAAACAACGAGCGACGGCTAAAACCTCTTGAATACTACTCAGGACGGTGAGTTCTACAATATATGTCAACATCAAGGCCACCCCTGGTGGGTCCCCTAAACGTCATATTTACCAAAAAAAAAAGAAGAAAGGAAACAAAGAGAAAAATGGGAAGGAAATTGGAAAACGGAGCAAGACTACATGCTCCTTTCGCGTGCCGAAAATACCGCGCGTCGCGTTCGAACGCGCGACGTGCACGAAGGAGCTCGCAGGAAGTCTCGTCTGTGCCGAAAAAGACATGGCCCCCGTCTGTCTCATCGCTTGCGAACGCGGTAAATCGAGCGTCGCTTTACGTCACGCGACGTCGACCGATGTTCTCCAATTTGCGGCGCATGAATGCCGGTTTATACCGGCTCATGGGACATGAATTTACGAGCGGCCCGGCGCACACACACACACACACACGCGCGCGCGCGCGTTCAGCCGCGAGCCGGGCGCGATGCGCTCTTGCCTGCTCGCTCGAAAAGCCGAATTCTCGATATAAATCAGACGAGCGCGCGGAAGACGCCGCGAGGGCGGCTACGAAGATCTCCGCCGACTCCCCCTCCTCCCTGCCGTCATTGTTTCGCCGCTCTTTCGTGACGCGATGAATAGGGCGGCCGCGAATGAAGTTAATCCGCGTTCATAATCGGGCTGAGCGCACGCGCGCGCTCGCACGTACACACACACACCACACACACACACACACACACACAGACGTAACGCAGCGCGCGACCTTAAGGGAGCTGTCCGTGAACGACGCCATTCACGCGTTAATTCTCTCTTT